AGAATAAGAAATGAAAATACCCCCTAACACCTTTCTCATCACAGAAAGATGCTACACAAAGGGAGAATATTGTTATTGATCACACCCTGGATAAAATGGAGATTCTAGAGATGGTAGAAATTGAACAGGGAGAAAAATACCTTGACTCTATGGAGTTTCTGGTCTAAATACATGAAGACATAATTCTCAGTTTAACCCATCTCATTTGCAAGATGCATTGTGAAACACAGTGCTGATTGTTTAGGACAAAGGATGCAAAGGGAGCAGGAAATCTAAATATCTACAGAGGGAACGTCTTTCTCATTAGACTATGTAGATAGTGCGCAGCTAAAAGCCTTTCTAATGATAGTGCTGGGGGCTGGAGCTTACACAGGTGGGATAAGTTATGTACTTTATATTTGACTGTACGATTGCAGTGATTTGTGGGACATGATTTGATCCATGGTGTTTCCAAATCCATCTCACAATGAGTTGAACTTAGCACCCGCTTCTGCTCTGTAAGCATGTCAAAGCTTAGGATGGTGTGGGAACATTGTGTTTAATTTCATAAGAAATACGATTATAAAGAGGAAAACTAGGGGTATGTCTCAGCAAAAGATTGACAATTAGAATAGGGGGAGAGAACTTCCATTTTGAGAAAAGCTAGAATTAATTCCAGCAGCAAGAGTGGCAATTGAACAGGGGAGGTGGGGCTGATGAGGTGAGGAGAGAATGAAGAAAAATAGCTATATGAGGTGGATATAAAGTAATCAGATAACTTTTAAGCACACATCAAGCCAATATTTGAATTGGTGTTGCCCTTCAGAATTACCTTGAGAGCATTTATCTGTATTCCAGGGATATTGTGATTGCTCAAACATCCTCGGCACTGCTCTTGGAGATTTTTCTTGTTACTATTTATGGTATGGTTGTGCAGTTAGCTTAATTTCATAATGATGACAGACTATTGCATTAATTCTATCACTTTGCATGTTTGTAAATGGACAGAAGAAATAGCATTCCATGGGTCAACACCTCCCTGTTGCCAGACTTTATATACCTAACATAATATATACCTAATATATACATATTCACGGAGCCTCCGTAGGACTACTGTGGCAGGTGCAATCTGACTAGAGCTCTTTTCTCTCAAGTGCTCAGCTCTCTCTCTCTGTTCACAAGGACCAGGGCAGGCAATTAAGATCAAAGTCTTTCTTATAAAGTGATTCCGACAGGACAGTGACCAGAGACAAGGAAAGCACAGATACCAGGCAAGTCCCTAAAGAGAATTCCTTGTCACAAGAGTAACGAATGCTGTTTTGGTTTATCTGATGGGACACAGGTGTTGCTTTGATACACAGAATACTTTGCAATAGTATTTATTATAAAGTGATTTTTATCTGTTTTGTTAGACACAGGCTGAACAGAGGGAGGAGGTTAGATGGATTCCAACAAGTGAAATTCTCAGTTCATTCAGCTGGAATTTGGAAATATGTGCAATTTCCCTCAATACATCATTCTGTCAATGCATATATATTGGGCATACTGTATGTTAGGGATGGGACGAGAGGTCCAGGAAGCAGTGATGTAAGACAGACATAATCCCTGCCTTGTTGGTGTGTATATCCAGATATTAAAAAACAGATAGTAAAGAGTGGCAAGTTATTATAGGGATGTTTCAAATGCCATGAGACTATACTGTAGGTACATATATAGTTGAGGGCTCTGGGGAGAATTTTTTTAAAAGTGAAGGAAGAGTGGTATTTAGGGAGATGGAAGGTAAAGGAAGAGCATTAAGGTGAAGAGAATGGCAGACAGAAAATCCTGGAGGTGAGAATTTAGCATGGTGCAACCGAGTGAAAAGAAGTTCAGTGTGGTTACCGGGCAGATTGAGAGAGGAAGAATGGTATAAGGAGGGGCTGATGGAATTAGGGTTGGACAGATCACACGTGGGCCTAAATAAAGATCTCATTAAGGAGTTTGAAAGGCATCCTAAAACAAAAGGAAGCCATGGAAGGATTTCCTAAACAGGAAAATGGTTAGATATATGTTTAAAAAGTTTATTTATATAAAGCCCAAGGGCTATGACCAGGGTCTAGAGCCTGGGAGCTCTTTAGGGCTAACCTCTAAGCTTTAATAAATAAGCTTTAAAACTGTTGTAATGTGTGGAGGTGGGGGAATCTGGGAGCAGAGGCAATTTGGTACAGCATAGGGAATAAAGTTCCTGCCACCTTAAGGGCCATGGTTGGGGAGCTGTCCACGAGACGGGTGCTGAACAGCTGAAGCAGGGACTGCCTAAAGACGCTTCATGGGATGTGGGCAGGTGGTGCCAGGTGTTGACATCTACCTCAGGGGTGGGAGGAAGGGAGTTGCTTTTTCTATGTCCTTTACCCATTTTATTTTTCTCCTTCCCGTATTTATTTTCTTCCTATACATTCTCCTTTCTCCCATTTTCATTTTCTGGCAACCTGGCCTGCTATAGCTAACTCTCTCTGAAGGAAGAAGGAAGAGTGTGCTTCTTGCCCCTCCTACATTAGTGAATTCTTATGAGGAATCAGCAGAGCCCTGAAGACAACACATTCGCAAGAAGCCCACCTTTATTTTAGGGTTGCAAGACTGCTTATTATTGCTAAATTGGCCGTGCCAGACTCTTCTGAGGCATTAGGTAGAGAGATATTGTCATTATTATAGTTGTTATTAGTAGTTATCACTGACTCAGTATTTACTGTGGGCCAGGCAGTTCACCAACTGCTTGGCTTCCCCAAACCTAAGAGGAGGCTGTATTATCTGTGTTTTATAGAACATAACTTGACTTGGAAGATCAGTGGTTGTGATTTGTGCTATTTATTTAATAAATTATTACTGAGGCCACATAACTGAGGGACAGGGGTGCAAGATGTGGGAAATAGAATCCATTAATACCTACTATGCATTGATTCTTTTGATAGTCATTTTGTTTAGTCTCATAACAATCCTGTGAGGTTGTACTGTTATTATCCTCATTTTACAGATGAGGACTCTGAGGCTCAGAGAGGTTAAGTAATTGGCTGAAGTCACACAACTATAAGTGGCTGAGCCAGTTTTTAAACTTGGGACTATCTAATTCTAAAGCCTATGCTATTTCATCCAAAGTGCTTCTTTACTTTTATGGGCCAGCCACATCTACAATCTAGTTTGATTTTAGCAAGTGAAAGCTGCTGGGTCCCATGTTCCTGCAGTTCCATTTGCCTCTGGGTCTTGAGGCTCCCTGCATCATCCCCAGCTCTGGGAGGGCAGCTTCCAACATCAGAGCATTTCAGTGGCATACGAGAGCCCTGTGCATGGAAGCACTCTTGTTTTCTGCAATCGCACACTTATTAGGTCACGAGGCATTATCAAACCAAGCTGGCTTTTGTCTGAATCCCCACTAGACAGTTTGGTCTCAGTATCAATATTGGAAATGTCTGGTAAACAGCCTTTAACAGGGAGGAGAGAGGCTAAGAACAAAGTCTCCCTCAAATGAAACTCTAGAGGATGAGTGTGAACAGAGTCAACATCTTGCTTGCTTTAAATCCCCTGGAGTGGCTATGAAAGAGAGAGGCCTTGCTGGATTGAGGAGAAAAAAAAACCCCTTTGATTCATCTGAATTAATTTCCCTCTCCCAGGAGGGTGGGCTCTTGCATCACCCTCATATTCTCCACCCCCTGCACACAGCTCCCACAATCCCAAAACACGAAAGACTAGTCTGGGGGGGCAGCGCCCACACTTCTCCCTTTCTCTACTTTAATTAAATCCATTTGTCCTGGGATCACTGAGCCCTGAAGTGCTCATGGGCTTTGATCTTTAACCCACGCACATCTGAAGGAGTGGGTGGCTGGTGCTCAGAGCGAGGACAGTGCCTTCTTCCTTTGACAGCACAGATCCGCTCACGAGCTCCTGGAAACAGCATGCTGCATGAGGTTCAGGTGGAGAAGTTGCAGGCCAGCTGGCATCACGATCCACCTTGCTTTGAACCCTTTGCCCTCATTTTTTGAAGGTGGATCCACTAGGTTGATAATTTGAATGTTTTAGGAGACTAACGTAGAGGCTACTCTGGATTGTAGGGTTTGACATTTAGCCCATGAAAGATCCTCTCCAGATCCATTCATCTGTCCCCCTTTTTAGTCTGAACAGGTCAGCACCAACCAAGGAGGGTTCAGGATGCCACAGCAGTGTCACGTGATGCTGCTGTGCTGCACTTGCTCCAGGCTGACTGCAGGTGGCAGGGTAGCGCCATCCTGGGGAGAGGAGTGGCGGCTGAACCGTCTGCGGTTCCTGCTCCATTTCAGAGCCACACGGAATTAACTATCTTCTGGTCCAACCCTCTCAAGTTAAAGGTAAGGAAACTGAGGCCCAAAGAAGTCAAGGATGTTGTTCAAGGTCACAATGACAAGATCCAAATGAGAACCAGGACTGTGGTAGATGCCTTCCTCTGTCATTCACCTCATGAACCTGCCTCAGGACCTGACTCAACAGAGCACTGGACTCAGAGTCGGGCTTGACTCTGATTGTAACTGGCTGGAACTTCGCCTCTTTGATTCTCAGTTTCTCTCCTTGCAAAGTGACAGGAGTAGGAAACCATGATCAGACCTGTCTTATCTACCTTGCAGGTTTTGTCATAATAAGGAAAAAATAAAATGTCAAATGGGAAATTAAGGCAAAAATCCATCAAGTAAGAGAAAATGCTACATACATATAAAGTCTATTATTTGGGAGTAATGTGAGCTGTTCAATTTTATTCTTCCTACACATGCTGGAGGCAGCCGGTCAGGCCAGACCAGAGATGTGGGAGATGGGTGTCCCTTGGCACCGTCATCCCCTGCACAATCTTGTGCTTCTGGTAACCTGCAGAAAGTGTGTGTGCATGTGTGTGTACACGTTTGTGTGTGTGCACACCTGCATGTGTGTCTTGGCTGAAGGTTGGGTGAGGGAGGGAAGACACGGCCCCCTCTGCACTTTGGCTGCTAGAGGCAAAGGGAGCGGAGGGGTGGGTGGAGGCGCACCTGTCAGACACGTCGAGGAGAGGCAGCACCGTCCACTGCCACAGGCTCAACCCTTCGCTGGCGGCAACCTGCCAGACCATCCTGCTTTGTTCCCTCCCGGTTTTGTTCTCCACCAGCACCAAGGACACGTTTCCCCTCAAGACTCCACGGATGAGCCAGGACATCCGGAGCTGTGAGGGAGAGAAGAGCCAGAGAAGGAGGTGTTATCGTTGAAAGGAAACCGTAGGTCCCATTCCTGGAATTCTCCACTGAAGCCTAAAGGATTTTGCTGGAGACTCAACCAAGGTGGGCTCAGTGAGAACTCCCAGGGTGGCTTTCAATAGACTTCAAGGAGCTGGGCAGGGACAGCTGATGGGCAGTTTTGGAGCTTTGTTTGGATTGATGTTATCATCCTAAATTTCACAGGATTCTACCCCTGAGGTGGTATCAAGATCAATGGGGTATTAACACCCTAAAGAGTAACCAAAGATTCTTCTATGGGGCCCCAATTCACTCTGTGAACTCAGGCAAGTGATTTTTTTTTTGACTCAGTTTCTTCTAGTGATTTTGGTATCATAGATTTATATTCCCTCCCTAAAGACTCTCATAATCTTATTCAAATGGTGTCATGTCACATGTCAGCTAACTGGAGACCCCATAACTTGATGCCTGTGGCCATTGACAGGCAAAAGTCAGATACAAATTTACATATCAGGATCTTTTAATAGGGTTGTCTTTCAGAATGAGGATGCCCATTTTGCCAAAAGGAAGCTATAGTTGTATGTTTTCATTGTGTTTTTCCTAAAAGTTTCTATGGCATTGCTCCCTAGACATTTAAAAGGGAATTGTAACTAATAATCTTTCTAAGAAAGTTTAAGAACAGTCATGTTCAGAGGCAGTACATACTAGAAACAACGTCTCTGGTCTTTGTATTTGAAATGATAGAGGTTGTACATTTGATAGAAACATCTATAAACAACATTTGAAGCCTAGGACAACTACATCATGTCATTGCTCAAAATATTTCTGTTCAGATCCTGTAACAAAAAATGGCTATTGTAGAAAGAAAGGTAAAATATGTCCCATGGCAAGCTGGAATTTTCATCAGATATGGTACCCCTCTTTCTCTGATTCTCCTTGTTTGAATACCTGCTTGTCTGTAAATTACCATTCCTTTGTCTCCCAGACTCACGGCTGCCTCACAATTTGGTTAAAGAGGTTAAGTACCATGAGCTGCTGCAGCCAGACTTCTCACTCTCTTGCACACAAACCCTTCACTAACAAGGCCACCCCTGGGCATTGGGGTCTGTAGGGACTGATCTATTTCTGAGACCCTGGACCTATAGGCCTGGTCTATAACCACAGCCTCTTCACTAACACCTTTCCCATTTCCCCACATCCAGGGTAGCAAATATGTGTCTCCACTGAGAACTTCCAGGATAATTGAGTGAATCTGTTAATTTTTTTCTGGCCCCAGTTGGCTTTCTTGTGCCATCTGGATGTCATGATTGGAAATTGTAACCCTACCCCTGCTACCGCTAAACTCTTTCAGCTCTCAGCCCGTGCCTATCTACCTTATAGGGTTTTATAGTGACCATTAACTGAGAAAATAAATAATGTAACAATGTGTTAAAAAGGCATTTTGGCTGAAGCACTGAGGCGGTAGATACTACATTTTAAAGGGAAACGTGAGAGCCTAAGGGTGAGGACTTTCAACAGAACTGGATAAAAATGGGTTATGCAATTCGTAATCCCTCACTCATACTTTGGATTTTAAAAAAAAAGTTGGTGGTTGACTATTAGGAAAGAGTATTTGGAGTGTGCTCTTGGCATATCATGAGGTCCACCTTACCCTCCTGCTAAGAAGGAGGGTGGGGAGGGAGTTCCCTGTTCATCCCCAGTCAAGAGAGAGAGGTTTTACGATACCGTGTTGAGCATTTGATGCTTGTTTCCTGTAGTTTGGGAGCACAGTGGATTAGTGTCTATCTCCTGTCTGGAAAATCTGGAGTTTGAACTAGGGGCTGGTTGGCTGCTGCGATGGCAGAACAAGATGAGGTGGCAGCGTGAATGGCCCACACTCCCAGGGCTTGCTGGGGCAGAAATGCACGAGTGTTGTACATGGTGAGAGGAGCGCCATGTGTAAGGGAGCTTGTGCGGGGTCACTTTAGATCTTGGCAAGAGGGAGGTAAACAGACCATAGCAGGAAGAAACTTCCAGTATCTTGAGATGCCCAGAGTGGAGGAAGGAGGAGTTGACCACCTGTGGGGTGCACACGCCCTCGTCAAGGCAAAGATTCCTGGCCATTGTAGAGGGCTGAGGAGAAAGGGAGCTCTCCAAAGGAGCCACAGAAGTGCCCCATATGAGCAATGGTAAGCCTCAAACATTTGACACATCCAGAGCACACCAATGCCAGATCACCCAGTGGTCCCAGTTAGGTAAGAACTTTCTTGCTCTGTTACCTCCTCTCTCTCCCTGTGCTTCCAACCCCGAGGGGTCAGAAGCCAGCAAGATGACAGAAGAGGAGGAAAGGCAGGGTCGGCAATGAGAGGGGACATTGACCACACTCTTCCCCTGACTTGAGGTTCTCCATCTGCAATAGAGCCAGGTACTGTTGGAGCAGGGGAGGGAAGGAACCCCTGACTTTAAGTCAAGATTTAAGTTTTGACTGGATGGGCAGGTCGATTACTAAATATGCCTGTGTCTGTGTTTCGAAGTAACTTATGAACTGTCTGCATTACCTCCAAGTGACAGATAAGTGGTGGGTCCTACCAGAGTCTTCACCCAGCAACCCACACGTGGGAGCCCAGTGAACGCATGTTCCCAGACTGCCCTGCGCAAGTCTGGTCGCCAGAGTCCCACCTGCCTTGTGTTTTTCTGCTTCTGTGCTTTTTATCCTTGCACTTCCTCAACCTGCTTTTTCCTTCTGTCCACTTAAAAAAAATGAAATCTTTTTCAGGAAGTCTTTTCTTATCGTTCATTTCAGAAACGACCTCCTCCTCCTCTGAAATCTTCTAACTAAGGCCACGGAGACCGTCGTGGGGTGTAACCCTGTCTCCCTCCCTGCCCTCCGGCCCCCACAGACTACAAGTTTCTTCCAGGCAGAGATTGTCTTATTCATCTTACGTTCACAGTAGCTGTCAAGTGAGGGCACGTCGTGGGCGCCAATCAATGTCAGAATGAATAAAAATGTATACATATATCGGCAGCTTCTCCCGGCTTTACCAGCCTCCTCTCCCAGGGACAGTAAATCAACTTTCTATCCTGTGAAGCTCCTTCGCCCCTTCCCGTACTCTAGGAGTCAGGTTCCGGGAAAGGGGAGAGGATCTCCCATTCCCCAGCTGCATGGCTATACTCTAAACTGCCCACTTCTCAGCTGCTTTTCAGTCCGAAGCAGAATCTGCTAGGGGCGTGAGCATGTCGGTGAGATACAGCCCTGTTCCTGTGCACGCTGGGCCCCTGGGCCAGCTGGCTGCTAGCTCTTCCTCCATATTCCTGTACTATATTTTGGGCTAACCAGGCTGGGCAAAAGAGAGAAAACTGGGCTGGCCACCAAGGGATGGTGCTAAGGCTGTAGCAAATTAGAATCTCCTGGAGAGCTTTCCAAACTGTCAATGTCTGCGCTCCACCCCAGAGAGTCTTATTTCAGTAGCCTTGGGCAGGTGCTGGGCATTAGTAGGTTTTAACATCTCTCCAGGTGATTCTAAATTGCAGCCTGGGTGGAGGCCACTGGGGAGCTGCAGCTACTTAGTGCCTGGTCCTCTCAGAGAGGGGTCCATTTTCATCTTGGACTTTGAGTAAGAGGTAATTCTTAATAACTGAAAAATGCCTGGAAATGTGCCCACCACCGTCAAGGTGTAGAAGGAGTGATTTTCCTGTCGGGGGAAGAGGGGAGGTTGCAGTCCTCAGCAGAGGGCCTTTTTGGGGCCATCCCATCATCTCCAGGCAAAGACTGAGAACAACCCTGAGAGTGTGAGACCCCTGGGCTGAGGATGATTAGGAATGACCTCAGGATGTGAATGGAGCTAGCACTATCCTCTTGGACCTGCAGGGTAAGGGTCTCACCAGTTTCTTAATTAGAAGAACTGGAGGATGATGTCAGTTCTCACTGAGTGTCCCTTGTTAACTACTTGTGTCTGGGGGTATAGAGCACTCACTGCCATGGCTCCTGGAGCGGGCTGCAGGCTCAAGTCCCTCACAAAGATTTCTGTTTCCCTTACACAGTCCCAGGTTAAAGAGCCCCTCTGATATCATTTTATGTAGATACCCAAGCCAAGCATACCCAGCTTGATCTTCAGTCAAGGTTCTCATGCCCAGAGTGGGCAAAAAACTCTCTTGGAATTCAATCTTAAGACCTATGTCTGTCTAGGTGGTCTATAGGCTATGAAGTCATTTTGTTAATTGACTATTTATTGAATGCCGTAAAGCTGCACTAGGCACTTGTACATAAGCTGTCCCATTTTATACTCACAACATCCCTTCATGCAGGTATTAGGCTGAGAGAGGTTGAGTCAGTCACTCTTGGGCCTTAGGCCCGGGGGTTGCGGCCCGGGGTTTTTTGTTTTGCCTTGGGTTTTTGTTCCGTTACTTTTGTTCTTCTGCCCTTGCATTGGTTTTTGGCATTCTTTGAGTTTTTGGGGGCCCTTGTTGAGGTTTTTTTGGCTTTTTTTTGTTCAAGTTTTGTTTTTTGGCCCGGAGTTTTTGGCTTCCCTTGGGGGTTTTTAGGAATTGCGGTTTTTCGGGCTTCCTGCCGGTTTTCTTGACCCGGATTTTTTTTTTTACCAGGTTTTCTTTTTGGAATTCTTTTTGCTTTGGGGGATTTGGGGGGCTGTTGGTTTTTACGCCTTTGCCACCCTTTTTCCTTGCCGGTCATTGACCGTTTTGTTTTTTTTTTTTTTTTTTTTTTTTTTTTTCCCCCAATTTTGTTAATTTTTTTTCAATTCTTAATTTCTTTTTTTGGGAATTATTGTTTTTTTGAGCTTGTAGCAAAACAATTTTTGATCCTTTTAGAAACATCTTAGTAGATATAGGTTATAAATGGTAGCTTTTGACTAATAAACTCTTTTCTATGCAGACAGAAAATGAGACAAGTGAAAAGAGACAACACCAGGAGCTGCCACCAGCAATTACAGCTTCTGGTTCCAGCCAGCCCTTTCACCAGGACTCTCCCTGCCTCTCGGCGGGGCCTGACAGA